TGAATTTTTAAAACAATCTTATTGAAAGCTTTTGTTTGCTACTGAGTGATAGTCTGAACTATTTCTGTTGACTTTTTTCTATTTCACATTTTCCTGGCAAGGAAGAATAAATAATTTTATTTAAATTGTTTTTTGTGACAGTTACGATGCTATTTAGAGGGTGTCTAAAATAACTCAATTACAGTGTGTTCATGTATAAAATATGGCCCAATAAGTCAGATTGTTAATTCCTAGTATCAGGAGTAATCAAGTAAAACAAGATCGTTAATGCTGTAATTGAAAGAGTGTCTTCAAATTCAAATATTTAAATACACATATTGAATTACGTAGAATAATTCAGAATGTGGATATAAAATGAGTTTATACCTATGAATTTGGTTAGAACAGATAATATTAACTCTTTTTGCAAAAAGGAAAAATGATAAAAACTTAGTAAGAATAGTTTTGAGGTGTGCATCGAAAAAACANTTTTTTTTTTTTAAAGATTTTATTGGGGAATCAGGGAAAGGGAACAGACAAGTTGCTGCCCTTTTGTTCTTCAGTCTAGTTGTGGAGGATGTCGCATCACTGGCACATGTTGGTATTGTGATCATTGTGCTCTTCCCAGCTGATGCAGTCACTCGCTGGCCATTGGACGACAGCTCACGCCGGCTGCCAGCTGCTCATGTTGGCTGTTAGCCACTCATGGTAGCTTACGGCAGCCCCACTGCAGCCTATGCCTTCACCGGCAACTCGTGGTAGCCCAGCTCCAGGTCGAGCTGTTGTTCATCATCTTAGCTGTAGAGGGCGCAGCGTCACTCACCCATGTGGAATTCAAACCAGTGGCCCTGCTGCTCAGAGCTCACGCTCCCAAGCCAACTCTTAACCAACGAGCCACTCGGCCAGCCTGGCATAAAAGTTTTTGATCTCTGGCCATATGTGTCCTATTTAGTTGGGTCTGACATTAAATACTCAATATTAAATTGTAAGCAGACTTTGAAAGAAGATCTTTAGAATTACAAATAACAAATTATTCAATTGATAAATAAGATGACATTATTCTAATGTTTGTTCGCTCAGCATCAAGAAGATTTTCAGAATGTTTTGAAAGGCTTAAGAATTGTTTCTTTTCTAATTCTGCAATAGAACTAATAGTTGTAAAGGTTGTGAATAGTATAAAGTTATATCAATTTGAGCAGAGCCCACATGACTGTTGGTAAACAAACAAGCATGTTTTCATTCTATAATAGTTTGGTAGGGAGATAGTATAGTGTGGTGGTTAGGAGCATAGACTTTGAAATCAGACTGACCTTGTTTGACCAATATGGATTGTCTAACCATGTAACAATCCATATTACATATGGCTGGGTATAATCAGTTAATCATAATATCACCTTTCCCATCATTTGCTAGATAAGCAGTATTTTACAGCAGTATTTTTGTGTGGTTATTAACGCTTGTTTCAGCTTAACTATCATGAGGTAAACAATTAGGTGTACTATGAGTATAGTTTGTATTTTTCCAATAGAAACTTTTATAGACTACCAGTTAAATTTGTTTAAAATATTTTAGTTCTAAATAGTGGATGGAATTTATTTATTTATTTATATATATATATATATATATATATATGTATGTATGTATTTAGTTCTGAAGTTTTACTGTTTTTTCAATTACCTCTTTACAGTAAATTCTTATAAATTAATGAATAAAATATTTTGATGAAAATAGTCTAATCAGCCTCTGATTATTAATCATTTGTGTGGCTTGCTGATTTATTTTCACAATATAGTGACTTGATTACTTCTGGTTTTAGGAGCTGTGGACCTGGATGCCTTAACAGATGAGAAGGAAAGAAAAGCCTTAGAAGGGATGATAAATAATTTTGGGCAAACACCTTGTCAACTCTTAAAGGTAAATCATAAAAGCTATTGATTACATGAGTCTAGAATTTAATTGCTACATAATAGTACTATCAGTATTTTCAAAGAATTTAATGATTTAAAACCTTACTTCAGAATTATTTAGAATTTGGAAAAAACGTACCATCACTTAATAAAAAATAGATTTAAATGATTGTTCCTATATTGAAATAACAAAATATTGTAGGCAAAAATCCACATATACAGTCAATTACTCTTAAATCACAGAGAATTTATATTTACTTAGAAAGCCAATCACCTTATTTTGTTATTTCTGAGAAAGAAAATGGTGAGGTTGAAGGTGCCCTGTCAGGTGAGATATTATTCCTTCCTTATTTAAGTGGAGAAAGAACTCTAATTACCTAACTCTGAACACCAATTAGATTATGCCATTAAAACTGTCCTTATATTAGGACTTGTTCTATATATATAAGACTTATTAGTAGATGACATCTGCCCAAAAGGGGCACTTACCATCCAGAGCCCAAACCTAATCCTAAAACTCAAATTATAGAATATATAACATATAAAATCAAATTATAAATATTACTGTATTTCTTTCCCCATAGTAGTATCTGAAATTAATGTCTTTCTGATTGCTTAGTTTTCAAAGATGTCTTGATCTTTGTTAGTATATGAATTTAGCAATGAGGAATACACAACAATATCCCATTTATTAAGTTGATATTTTTTTTATGCAAGCACAGTGCTAGGTTATTTTCTTAACCCTCACAGTAAGTATCCACTTATCCTCATTTTTCAGATGATGAAGCCCCAAGCCTCATAGAAATTAATACCTAGCCTACAACACCTTAGAGAAATCAAATACTACTTTTCCCAAGTTTACATAATTAGAATGTGACTGGGGCAGGATATGGATATATCTAACTCCAAAGCCTTTCTAGCATGCCATATTTCCTTTGAATTCATAGCTGTAAGCTCCCTAGTTGAACTAGACCACTTTTCCATGTTCTTATGGGCTGTTACTTATATCCTAATTATGAAACTTTCTGCCTTAGTTAATTGTATATTTATTTGCCTCCCTATATTATAAAATGTTAAAGACAGCAGCTTTCTCTTAATCATTGATGTATCTTTCTCGCATATTGTATGTGTACAGTAACTATTTGTTGAATTGAAATCTCCACGGATGTTACAGCAATAGTGTTTCTAAACTCTGTCTTATACTCAGTTATCAGACTAGCTTTATAATTGTTACTATTCCTTAGCAACAGTTTATTTTGAAGCCTCCAACATAGGTTTTCACAGAATAGTCATATTTGAAATCAGTGCTTTATCCTTTACCTGCCAACTTGAGTCAGAAGGCAAAAGTAACAGTAAAACAGAACACTTCTTTGGGTTTTGAANTCTGAGTCATCTTCTTTTCCATTGAGAAAAAAATTGCTTGCACGAGTATCTTTGTCAGCCTCTTTCCTAACCATAGTAGCTTGGAAGCCAAAGGAAGGTGTGTGTGTGTGTGTGTGTGTGTGTGTGTGTGTGTGTGTGTGTGTGTGTGTGTGTGTCTGCCTCTCTCTCTCTTTCTTGCACAAATTCTATCTCTTTAAGTATGAACTAATATAATTTATTTAAAAATTGTATGGGTTTCTTATGCATCAACTCTATTGGACAAAAACCATTCCACCTTACTTTGCAAAACAGTTCCTTATGTCCTTTGAGCTTAGTGGGAGACTAATATAGGAAAATGTTTTTAAGATTCTTGTTAAAAAACAAAATTCAGCTGAGTAAATTTGAAGATATAATTGGCTTTATTCGGTATTCAGGATTTGGGCAACGTCCCACCTAACAAATAGAAAGGAGCTCCGAGATGCTATACAAAGTGGAAGGCTTTTATAGGCAGAAGGGAGCAGAAAAAGACAGTTTTTAACAGAGTATAATGTTTCAGGCATGGTCACCTTCTTATGGGAAGGGGTCTGTTATGCTTATTACTTCACAAGTGCCAATCAGGTAATTCCAGATTGACTAGTTAAAGGTCATATTCCTGGGAGAGGCTGAAACTGCAGTGAAGTTAGATATTAAGTCTTGGTTTGCTGATGTGGGACTTAGCACAAGTGACTCCATTTGAGCCTGTTGTCTCTCTTATTCCCTTTAACATTCTTAATATGCTCTATTTTCTCTTGAGTGCGCCTTTGAGGCACAACATTAAATCTGTGAGATCTCAACAAATAGTTTCACAGCCACACTCTTGAACTAAGCTTTTGCCTGAGGCCATATTTTACGGGCGACACTGATTTGATCATTAACTTAGGCCATTTGTCACTTTGAGAGACTTTGCTCTCTAGTGATCCTGGAAATGAGAAATAATTTTATTTTGAACCCAGCAAGACCTGGCTCCTTTATAGTTTTTAAAATTGTGCTTAAAACTCAAACAGTTTTGTGTTTTTTTTTTTAACTCATCTTACTTCTCCCACACTTTTATCACAGGCAGCTAAAAGAAGCCAATTACCACTTAACATTCTGCCTGGAAATCTCCATCCCCAAATCCACGAGTTCATTGGGTACCCTTCTAACTTTCATGTAACTAAAACATGACTCCCCCTTCTCCCATCCCAGTAACAGTTTCCTTACTGTCTTTCAAGCCACCTTGGAGGCTCTGGGAAGGTCCCTCAAGCCTCTGCCTGCCACCAAGTCCACCTCTTAGTGAAGTGGGGTGGAGGGAGTAATTTGGGGCATCTTTAAATCAACCCCATTGTGGTTTCATTGTTATCTTTGAATTGAATTTCTAGACAACTATTTTAATGGAAATTTCACAACAAAGATGCATTCCAGAGCTATCATTAATTTTTTGTCGTTAATATTTGGGCTATTAGAAGATTTGTGTTATTTTTTTCACCTGTTACTTAGGAGATGCATATGTAGTAAAGATCAATAAGTATGTCTACATTGTATGAGATAGAATATAGTCAGTATATGTAGTAGATAACGAATAAATGTTTAACATGATTTTGAGATAATTTTATTTACAGTGGTAAGATTTTTAGTAGAAATGCTTAATTTGCTTTTACTTTTTAAAAGGGTCCATCTTTACATTATAGTTGGAAGGTATCACTATAGTAATTATTACATTTGTACTTTTTCTAGGAGTCTGATTATGTTTCTGCTCATCTTCATGAATGGATAGATCTGATTTTTGGCTATAAACAGAGGGGACCAGCTGCAGTGGAGGCACTCAATGTTTTCTATTACTGTAGTTATGAAGGTATAAGCCTGTATGCTTTTTCTCTTGCATTACATTAATAGAAAGTATTATTTAATATGTGTTTATGCATGGTATTTTGTACATAACTATCATGAGAAAGACTACATTTAAAAAATAGTTTTAGTGATCCTTTCTATTTGAAAGATAAGAGACTTGCTTTTGTAAAAAAGAATAGTAGTTAAGAGTATCTATGCAGGCCGGCCAAGTGGCGCGTTGGTTAAGAACTGGCTTGGGACGCCAGAGGGCCCCGGTTCGGATCCCACATATGAGGGCCAGTGACACTGCTCTCCATAGCTAAGATGCTGAACAACAGCTCAACCTGGAGCTGGGCTGCCGTGAGTCGCCGGCGACGGCGTAGGCTGCAG